CCCCCAACAATTATTTTTACCCTTTGTCCCACTGCCACAGCTGTTCCATAGAGCTGGGCTCGCACTTATTTCCCGATGAACCGGATTTTAAGCGGACTCGTTTTTACACGTCGTATTTCACCAGTATGAATACCACTGCGCTCATATGACCTTAGCAGTTGCGAGCGCCGTAAAACCCTATACTAATACAATACTAATAATGAATACCACTCTCACGATAAAATAATCGTTTTGTTTCTTGGTGAATGACAAGTAATCTGGTTTTTGGTTTGTTCCTTCGTTCCCATTTAACATGTTATGTCTTCCTTATCTCTTCTCCCTCTTTTCTTCGAACTCTGTTCTTACTTCCGTTACAAGCTATGAAAGTCTTCGGCACTTCTATACCCTATTTGTTTTGCAAGTGCCGTAAAACTCTCTCAGTACACACAACAATAATATAAAGTTTCTTGCTTGTTTTGTTGTTAATTTTTTTTCTTCTGTAAACTTGGATGGTTGGTAGGTGCTCTGGTGTGGTTTGCTCCTTCTTTCCTATCAAACATCTATCGTCCTTATCTCCCCTCCTTCTAGTTTGTATTTGCTACACTCTTGTAACACCTCTAATCTTCTGCCTTATTGTGTTGCAAGTGCAGTAAAACTCTTACTTAAACAAACAAAGCCTTTTGAACGCCTTTTTGTTTTATGTATATGTTAATACTCTGAAGTAAAAACTTTGATATTGGGGGCTGTCGTGGCCTAGAGGTTAGGGTGTTCGCCTCTCATTCAAAGGTCCCGGGTTCGAATCTGGGTAGCGACGAAAACATTTTCTTCTCTAAAATTGTCTCCTTTCACCTCCTCTCCTGCTCTCTACAGCCTCTCTATTGCTACTCCGTGGCTCCTTCTCACTGCTGTCTTTCATCCACACCCGTGATCATCTGGTGGGAAAGATCTACACCTAGTCTTCTCGGCCAAGGACGAAAAATCACGGAGATCCTGTGTGCAAGTTGCGTACGTTAAAGATCACTTGGTGGTCCAAAATCGATAAGAGTAGGCTTCGGCCGCCAAACGTGCAGAATTCAAAATTTCCTACCAACTGAAAATTGTAATGTTGAAAGTGTCCTGCACGCTCGAATGGCCTTATGCAGTGCGAGCATTGTAAAACATGCCCATATGCAGGTGCGAGCGTTGTAAAACATGGCCTTATGCAGGTGCAAGCGTTGTAAAACACCACCCCAAAAATATTTTTAAAACTGTGTGGCAAATACCACAGACCTCTCACTAAAACTTGTCCTGGCTGGTTATTGTGTGAGTTGTAAAAACAACCCACATCAGTTGTTGGTGTTGTTGGCTGTAAACGTAAAATGAGTTTGAGCACGTGTCCATGGAGTTATGGGGATGGAAACATGCACTGTTGTTTGTGAGTCATGCCAGGCCACAGAGTACTCACTCTCTTTCTCTTTGTGATGTGGTGATCGATCTACTGATTTATGAGCTTTTCTATAAATTCCATTTGGAATTTAATGACCAAGCCTGAGGGAGTCTACTGCATGCAACATAATGTTGTTTTTTTTAAAAAGTGAAAAATGCCAGGTTCCTAAAAAGTGGTGTTTGTTATACCTCATGGTGGAAGTAAATGTTTTTGTTTTGTTATTTATTGGTGTTAACACACCCTGAAACTCGTGAGGGTAATAACTTTTACAACTTGTAGACTCACTACTGCATGTCTGTTCAACTGTTGGTTGGTTACTAAATGTTTGACTGCCTCTTCAACTATGTGGATGGTTGGCGGGTGCTCTGGTGTTATTTTCTCCTTCTTTCCTATCAAACATCTGTCGTCCTTTTCTCCCCCTCCTTCTATTTTGTGTTTGTTACTCTCTTGTAACACCTCTAATCTTCGGCACTTATATGACCTTATTGTGGTGCAAGTGTCGTAAAACTCTTACTAAAACTAAAAACCGAACTGTTCAACTTACAAAAACAAGAAACAACCAGTCAAATAGAAATGAAGTTTTGAGTCTACAAGCTTTTGAACTTGATACTCTCACGAATTCCAGTTTGTGATAACGCCCGCTTTTCCATTGAGCACTTCGGAGATATGTGAGCCAGCGTGGTGGAATCAGGCTCTCGACAATTTTGGGGCATATTGAGTTATTGTTATCATCTTAAAGCTTCTGCATTTGTCTTGCTTTCAGTGAAAAAATTACCCATCGATCTTCAATAGAAGTGGGGATATTTTGGATTGAAGGAGGCGGGGGTCACCTGGTTTAAGAGGTAATATTAACGAGAAAATGGCCGTCAAAACTTGGTAAATTCCAAAGCTGGAGAGTCCATGGACACTGTAAATTTATATTTTTGTGCCTTTAATCAACGTTTTCGGTGAAATCCTGAAAGGAATGTGTTTGTAAATGGACATAAAAGGTGTTGAGCCAAAAAACAAAATATTAATAAAAATTGCTAAGCAGGGAAAAACCTGCTGTTTCCTTCGATTTCATTATTTTGACGAGAGCCTGATTCCACCACGCTGCCTCACATATTAGATTAGGTTCCGAGACTGCCGTGTTTGTTTTTACAAGCTATGGACGTCAATATTTATACTTTATTGTAGTTCTATAGTTCTTGTTTTTTTTTGTTGTAAAGCACTAAATGACTTGTGGGTGGTTGGCGGGTGCTCGTGTGTTATTTTCTCCTCCTTTCTTATCTAACATCTATCGTCCCGGTCTCTTCTCCTTTTTTATGTTTGTTACTCTCTTGTAACGCCTCTAATCGTCGGCACTTATATCACCTTATTGTGTTGCAAGTGCCGTAAAACGCTTACTAAAAGTAAAACGAATTCCAGTTTGTGATAACACCCGCTTTTCCTTTGAGCACTTCGGAGATATTAGATTAGGTTCCTAGACAGAGGTGTTTTTTTTAGACAAGCTATGGACGTCAATATTTATACTTTATTGTAGTTTTATAGTTGTTGTTTTTTTGCCCAGCACTAAACAACCATTATTGAATCAATATGTGAGGCAGCGTGGTGGAATCAGGCTCTCGTCAATTTTTGGGCATGTCGAGTTAGTGGCATCATCTTAAAGCTTATTCACTTGTCTTTTTTTGGGCGAAAAAAGTATCCATTTGTCTTGAATACAAGTCGAGATATTTGCGAATGAAGGAGGTGGGGGTCACCTGTTTTCAGAGGTAAAATTAGTGAGAAAATGACGCCAAAGATTAGTTATTTCCTTTGCTTAAGAGTCTGTAGTTCAGAAAATTAATTTTTTTTGTGCCTTTAATAATCATCAACGTTTTTCAGAAAAATCCGCACACAAATTAGTTCTTTAATGGCATAAAAGGTTTTGAGCCAAAAAACAAAAATTTGATAAAAATTCACAAACCTGCGGAAAAATGCAAGTTTCTTCACTTTGATTATTTTGACGACAGCCTGATTCCACCACGCTGCCTCACATATACTTCTCTTTAGGCGAAAACAGCACCTGGGCGTGGATGGCCGGTGCCTCTATAAATAAGTCATTGTGCTTCTCTTTACTCAAACAACCATTGAACTGAGTTCTTTTCCCGGGTTGGAAAGTTTATAATTTAATCGTGGACTCTATGTGTCCTTCTATCTTCTGCGAGGATGCTGTGTCCCACTCAGTGTGGACTGAAGCTCCCTGCCTCTTAAATGATTGATGTTGAATAGAAGAGGATACATGTAGAACATTTGTGGGTGGTTGGGGGGGGGGCGCCTCTGGTAGGTCCTTCTTCTTCACTTTCCCTCTGTTGTTTCTGTCTGTCTGTGTGGGTGATTGGAGGGCGACACAGGTATAGGTCCTTCTTCTTCACTTTCCCTCTGTTGTTTCTGTCTGTCTGTGTGGGTGATTGGAGGGCGACACTGGTATAGGTCCTTCTTCTTTATTTTCCGTCTGTTGTTTCTGTCTGTCTGTGTGGGTGATTGGAGGGCGACACTGGTATAGGTCCTTCTTCTTTATTTTCCGTCTGTTGTTTCTGTCTGCCTGTCTGTATTACTTTTCCCGTGCACGAAATGACCATTCTTATGTCGATATTCCCCTCTTCATTCCAAGAAAGTGCAGAACATTTCACCATCTTTGCAAACAATATTGGCCAACGTCTGTGGTGTAGCGGTAAGGTGCTTAAGCGTGGCATACACGAGACTTGGGTTCGATTCCCGAGTGGGAAGAATTCCCTTGGAGTATCTCGGCTTTTCCACTGGAATGGCGATTCCCTCTAATTCTGGGCTAGTCACGACAGGCAGGGTCGAAGCTCGCCTCTTAAACGATCTAGACTGGGTCGATGGGTACGTAAAAACACCTTTATTTAGAACAAAACTATTCAAGAAATGTGGAACTTTCAGTAGAACAGACTGTGTGCTTCATCTGAGGTTGATGTTGAGAAAGGAATACAAGGTTGTTGTTTTTTTTTAACATTAAATTTTATTTTGACAGTTTATAGCGAGCACTTGGTTGGCCAGCAAAGCTGGAGAACCGAATAACAGGATGTGCATGAAATATATAATCATAGTATTATGACTCATACTTCCATGAATTCATCATAACGTTTACTGCGTCGTTAGAATGATAGCCTTGGAAAAAATACATCATTGTAACTTGTTGCTTTTATGTTCTTGAATCGGCGTATGACGTGCAATAGTTTAGTCTGTGGATGGTTGGCGGGTGCTCTGGAGTGGTTTGATCCTTCGTTCGTTCCTTTCAAACATCTGTCGGTGGGTGGTGGGCGAGGGCTCTGGTGTGGTTTGCTTCTTCTTTCCTATCAAACATCTATCGTCCTTATCTCCCCTTGTTCTTTTTATGTTTGTTACTCTCTCGTAACACCCCCTAATCTTCTGGCGCTCATATGACCGTATGC